CCCCAAAACCCCAAAACCCCAAAACCCCAAAACCCCGTAAAGGAGTAAGTAGATTGAAAATTTAGCAGATGAGAGAAGCAATAGACCGGTACTGAGAAACACACTTAGAAGAGACAATAAGGAGGCCATAGAGTCTTAATAGAAAGAAACATAGACAACAAGGAAGGTAATGTCCAGAAGTATCCCTATTCCAAGCGCGTCCATTAAAACCCAGAAGGAATCCCACTCAGAATCGGACTCCAAAACTCTATACCCCTCCACATCACAAAAAACCCAGAAACCCTCTCCCATATCATCATCTCCAAGTCATAACCTCTCAAAATGTTATCTACCCCAAATCCCTCCCAAAGCCACTCCTATCAGCCAAGCCCCGCTTAGCCGCCTCCTCACCCATACTTATAGTTCCAAAAAATCTTTTAATTCTTACTCATCTGCTTCATGACTCTTACAGTAAGTAACCCTATGAAAGCATAGAGCATAAAAGAAGGAATGAGTCCTAAACAAGCCTGGATGCTTGGAGAGGCCAGTTGATGGTGACTGTGTTCTTTGAAGTAGGTAATTCGTAGAGAGAAGTGAAGTAAAGCTTCAGGTGCTAATTTTGGTAATGATCTAAATAGGATTAAATAAATTCTTGTGAACCTTGTATTGAACTCTATGAAGTTTACCTTCAGACGCTCTATCACTATGAAAGCTGTTCTCAAGAAGACTCTGGAAGGTGATGACATTGTTGACTTCAGAGTGTGTGATCCTGGCACTGGTATTAAAGAAGAAGATCAAGAGTGCCTCTTTAAGCTCTTTGGATCATCGGAGAAAATGAAGACCTAAACACCAATGGGTGTGGATTGGGACTCACTATCAGCAAGAAATATGTTGAGTCTCTTGGTAGAAAAATCAGAATAGAACCAGAGTACTGTGAAGGCACAGATATGATATTCACTATCAGACTCAGAGATATCAAACAAACTCAATGAAACAGAAGAGCTCCAGTTTCCCCTAACAACCTTCCTATTCAAGATCCTGATTGGGAAATGAGAAATATTGATTTTCAAGTAAATGAAGAGCATTCGTCTATGACATCTAGAATTAACGACTGAAAGTTCTTTGGTGGTAACGAGTGCAAGTTTTAATTAAATTGATAGTCACATTCAATTACCTTATTTATATAAGGGGTTTTGGGGTTTTGGGGTTTTGGGG